GGGCGGGGCTGGCTGGCATGTGGTGCTGGGGGATTGAACCGCGGTCCCTGTGCTTTGCCAAGCTTGTTCTAAGTAGGTGCTTTAGACCACTGATCCATCTCTCCAGCCCCTACTAGTAGGTTTTTATTTTATTCTTTTCGTTTGTACTACAGTGGCTACCACTTACAAAACTGGTAGTGAGTGTCAGTGTTATCCTGACTCCAGTGGGTCTGCTTTTAACCTGCATCTGAGTATTATGAAGGCCTGGGGTTTTGTATGAATATTTTTGACCAGGTTAAGTAAGTTTGGAGTACTTCTGGAATACTGAGAATTCTTCTTTTAACAGTAAGTAGAGGGGCTGGGGAGATGACTCAGTAGAATAAGTGCTTCTCTGGCAAGCAGAAGGATCTGAGTACAATCCCCAGTTCTGCCAAAAAAAAAAGTAAGTAGATGTCAGCCTGATCATTTGCAGCAACTGCCAAATGTCTCAGCCACACCCTTTTCAGATAGCTACTGAGGTTTCTTGTGTTTCTAGCCCAGGCCCTGATGCAGTTACTGTCCTCATGATCATTGTAACAATTTATCTTCCTCAGGCCAACCTGTGGTGTCTGACTAGAGCTGTGATTCTCACTACGCCCGTCACTGGGCTCCTACTAACTGGGCCACTCTGGCAGGTGTTGGGCAGAAGAAATACCTGCTTGACTGATGAGGGGGGCAGCTTTGTGGGCCAGAGCCCCAAGGGTCAGCCCCTCCCATTCATGCTGTCTTCTGTTGTTTCAGCGCCTCTCCACCAGGCATGCTCCTTGAGAAGGACTGCGAAGTTTATCGGGATTACAGTGTGGATGGCCAGCTCCTTCACTACAGGTAGAACTGCCAGCTTGGTAGCCTGGTGCTGGTTGGATGGTGGGCTCCTGGGTAGGCCAGAGATGAGAAGAATCTAGCTTAGCAGGGAACAGTGGGAGCACCAGAATGAGCTGTGGAGGACACCAGAGCCTGGGGCCTGGCAAAGGCCACTGAGAGGTAGAGGAACTTTGTCCTACCCACCTGAGACAGGCCTCGGGGAAGAGTTTGGTCCAGGTGCCCTCAGCATGTTGTCTGCCCTGGGCAGCACTGGTGACAAAAATCCCAGCAGTCACCAGGCCCAACTGAGAGTTCAGTAGTCTTGGGGGTAAGAACAGGCTTTGTCCACTGGGCCCTGCATCATTTAGTAGAGTACTAGAGAGTCCCAAAGGCCACTCAGGACCAGTGGGGCCACCGCTTGCTTGACCAGACTTCTTGGTAACTGGCTTGTTATGGAGAATATGGAGCTAGTTGTGATCTCTGTGGTGGCCTGTGATCCTCATGATATAGCACCCAGGAACAGTGTTGGTACAACAAGGGGCTCAAAGATCTGAAGAGCTGTACCCTCAGACAGCTGGATTTTTTCCCCCTAAGTCTGCGTTTGTCAAGCACGAGGAGTTTAGAAGGAAGTCTGCACCTATGTGGCCCATGACATATGTATCTGTAGCTTCCTGGGCTTTGCTGTCTCCTCAGTGACACAGGTCTGTCCCTGCTGCATGCCCCCTGTACACTGTGTTAATGGTGGAGGATTGACCTTGCTGTGATGAGTCAGAGTTCACCTCCAGTCCCTCAGGCCTGAGGCTCCCAAAGCAGCTCCAGCCTCCATAATGGATATGCCACCTAGCCTTTGTTGGCTGAGTACTGCCAAAATCCTGCAATCCTGGGGAGCCATTATTGCCCCAAATCAAGATCCTGGCTCACTTGCACACCCCCATTGTCATCATCGTCACCTGTGGAACATTCAGGAAAACAAGAATCCTTGCAGCTACAGGTCTTAGCTGAGATGGAGAGGATCCTCTGCCATTCTGTTGTCATGAGAGTGATGACAGGTAGCAGCCCTGCCTTAGGCCCTTCTGTTGCTCAGCTGCCCTCAGCCTCCCAGAGCCATAAGAGCTGACATGTGTGGTCTCTGCAGAGGTCCTTAAGCCACTCTTTTTGTAGCCATTGCTGCCACCATATCTTTCATCCCTCTTGGCAGCTCACTGCATTTAAAGCCCCATGCTGACACATTGCTTCGTAGAAGTCCCACCGTCCTACACACATGCCTGTTTTGATCCTCTGCTGGCTATACTTGCTCAACACTGGGAGATAAATCAACAGCCCCTACCATGCTTGGGGCAGGGTGCTCTGGGAAGACACTTCAGAGATCCACTGGGCTACTCAGGCAGAGGCAGACCAGCATGCTTGTCCTGGGTGCCATTCTTGCAAGCCCATGGGCACTCTGGCTTTGGCTGGCAGTGACCTAATGGGGGCTGCTCCAGGCCAGGCAGCTCAGTACCTCTCCTTCCCCTTCTGCCATTGTGGTTCCCATCATTGAGGTCTTAATATAGAAGACCTGGGAAGTCTGGAAAAGGTGGCGGGATCCACATGAAGAGCACCAGCAGGGAACTTGGTTTGTTGGTCTTCTGTGTCCCAAATGACCTATATTCTGTTAGAAGAGTGGAGCAGGCAGGAGGAGTGGTTAGACTCTGTCTTGCTGTTGAGGATTGGCAGCCTCTGAAAGCTTCTGAGCAGACCAAGGACATATATTCACAGAGGATAATGTGCTGAAAAGCCAGTCTGGGCATCCCTGTGGACCTACTAGGCAAGTGCTTAATGTCCATGACTATCTTCCTGGCTCCTGGAAGGAGATAGCTTACCACCCTGGGGGATGTAGTGGGAGGTCCACTGAAAAATGAGGGCCAGTAACAGCTTGAATGTGAGCTGTGGCAGAGTGGAGTGCCAGCATCCAGCCTTTCTATCACTGGAGCAGAATGCACATACAGAACACTCACAGTTTAAAGGAGAGGTTAATTGGTTTCACAACTTCAGAGGTGTCAGTCCATGGCCATCTACTCCGTGGCAGACATCCTGGAAAGGCATGAAGTAAAGTTGCTGACTTCATGGCAACCAGGAAGCAGAACTCAGGGAAAAGCACAGGAGGGAAGGAGCTAGGGAACAGGCCTAGTCCCCAGGGTCACGCCCCGCTAGCTACCCAAATTTACCCCTACCCATCTCCTAAGTATCTCCCAAGCCAGTCAAGTTGATGACTTAGCTTAACTGTCACTAGGGGCTAGTGCTTCCTCACTCTGGTTGTGCTCAGTGGCATAGACCCACACAATGCTTTGTGGGATAGCAAAAAATCAAAATCTCTGAGAAACAGATTATAGAAGGAAACCCGAGCTAGCCTAGTCCTGGAGCAGAAGGAAGCTGTGCCCAGCCCCGTAGTCTCTACTTACTGCTTGGTTTGGCCTTGAGGAACAGTGGCTGCAGGTTGAAGTGAGGGGCATCATGCTTCATTGTCTCCCAGACTCATGTGGTACTAGTCCTAGTGACTAGCTGGGACCAGTTGGGTTTCTTGTGGAAAGGGATATCTGAGGAACAGAGCTCTTAGATTTGCCTAGGTGGGAACTTCTTGTGCAGAAAGGAACCATGGGTCTGAGAAATGTGCAGTAGGTAAAGATGAAAGTTTATGACCACAGGTAGGAAATGGAGAGATGAAGCCTGCACCCATGTGGTGCAAGAGCCCAGCTAGCAAAAAGAGAAGCAGGGAATACTTGGGGCACAGTCCTGGGACCTCCAACCTGCATGCAGCTGCCTTTGAATTGGAGTTGACTTTTTCAGCAGAGAGCAGGAAGCCAGTCTTGCAGGCAGTGCTTAGGGGCCTGTCCAGGGCATCAGGCTTGTATGCCAAGCAGAATCCTCACTGGGCAAGCACATGGTGACTCAGAGGCCTGAGCGAAGTGACAGGTAACCATGCAGGCACCATGCAGAATCACAGGCTGTCTGAGGGCAGGAAAGTCCTTTTTTTTTTTTTTTTCCAGTACCAGGGATTGAACTCAGGACCCTGCACTTGCCAGGCAAGTGCTTATTCTACTGAGCTATCTTCCTGACCCAGTCCTGCTATCTTTTTTTTTTTTTTCAAAGTTTTATTGATAAACAGATAGCAATGAGACAGTTTCAAATCTAATCGGAAGTACAGTTTCAACAAATAATACACTGCATATATTCTTCTCAGTGGTTAATTGCTGTACAAGAAGTGGACTTGTGATCCTATTTACAGTCCTGCTATCTTTAGATGTGAAGTTTTGTTTTTTGTTTTTTTTTTTTTTTTTTGTGGTATTGGGGATTGAACTCAGGGCCTTGCACTTGCCAGGCAGGGGCTTATTCTACTAAGCTCTCTCCCAGCCTAGATGTGCAGTTTCTTATTTGTTTGAGTGCAGCTGTTTAGTGTCATATCAGGCCTAAGTGACTGTCAAGGAGCCACCATTGCTGGTCTCTCCCTCACACTTTGTTGGTGTCCATGGCCAGTCCAACCACTTCCCTGAAGCTGGCCATAGGGAGTCATGTCCAGCTTTGGTTTTGTGTCTGAGTTTGGTTTTGCATAATGCTTTCAGTTCTTCTGAAGTAGGCTATAGAAGGAATAAATGTCTGGTAACCCTGAGTGGAAAAAGCCCTAAGTCTGCCCTGGCTTTTTATGACAATGGCTCCTCTGCAGAGATGAGGATCTCCACCCTGGTGCCTGTACCCTTTAGATGGGATGTGAGAAGGGAGGGGCCACAGTCCACTTGCTGCCAGGAAAATGGGGAGGAGCTAGACCCAGGAGGAGGCTGCAAGCCAACTGGGAAGGTTGGGCACATCCCAAGAGGAGTATACCAGGGGCCATGAAAAATGATGTGAGGCCAGGGACTGAGAAGGCCCAGGTGGCTTGGAGCTGCCTGTCTGTAGGGGGTGCTGGGTGAGGCAGACCTTTAGGCCAGAAGACATGCTGGACACTGTGGTGGTCCTCACTTGGACACCACTTCATCTGTCTGCATATCCAAGGGGAGCCCCACTGTGATATGGAGCCTGTGACTAGGTCCCTAGAGAGGACCCAGGCCTGCTATGAGGCTCGAGTCTGTTCAGGGCTGGGCATAGTGGCGCATGCCTATAATCCCGGCCTTTGGGAAGGTGTGGCAGAAGGATCCTTGTGAGTTCAAGACCAACCTGGGCTACAGAGTGAGCTCAAGGACAGCCTGAAACACCAGAAGTTTAGTTTACTTCAGTGCTACCAGAAACCAACCTTAATAAATATGATCCATAAATGCAAGACATGAAATGGCAAGTAAGCCAGGTGTGTAGTGCACAGCTATAATCTTAACATTTGAAAGGCTGTCACTGTGAGGTCAACCTTGGTTCCACAGTGAATTTAAGACCAGCCTAAAATATGTAGTGAGGCTGTCTCAAAAACAAAAATTATAAATAAATGGCAATTGAACAGAATCACTTAGATATTCTAGAAATGAAAAATACAGCGACAGAAAACAAGAACTCGGATGGTGCTAAGGTGAATGTGTTCCTGCACAGATTCCTGTGTTGAAATCCTGACCCCCGAAGGATGGTGTGAGGCCTTTGTGAGGTGATGGGGCCATGCAGGCAAGTCAAAGGATTCGTGGCAGTAAGAGATGTTGTTACTGTTATTACAGAGAGAGGCTTGAGAGAGCCTGGTCTCTGACCACAGAGGATACAGCAGCCAGGTTCTGTCTCTACCTACGAAGTGGCCCTCATCAGACACTGAGTTTGTTAGTACCTCGGACGTCCAGCCTCCAGCACTGAAAAATAAATGCTTGTTTCTAAGCCTCTTAGCCTGTTATTTTGCTGTAGCATCCGGAGGGGTTTAAATTTTTTTTTTTTTTTTCTGGAGGGGTTTAAAATTAGAGTGAAGTAGAAAATTAGTAAAGGGAAAGACAGATCTGAAGAAAAAATCTAGTCTAGAACCAGGAATAGAAAATTTGCAACATGTCTTGAAAACTGAGCTTGTGTAGGAAATATGACTGTGATTGGATTCTCAGGAAAGAGGGAAAGAGAAATATGTTTGAAAAGACAATATCCAACATTTTTCCAAAAATCATAGAAGATGCTGAACCACCAAAGAAATCCTGAATAGAGATGCATACCTAGGTAGCCTGGGGAAGAGGAAAGAACCCCCTGCCTCCCTGGACTGTCCTGGGGCTCATCCCAGTTACAGGAGGCAGACTATGGTTAGCACTGTGTCCCTGTGCCTGCCTGGCTATGTCATCCTTGTGGTCCATGAGCAAGGGAGGTTCAGAAGAGCCCAAGTGTCCAGTGTGCCCCCCGCTGGGTTAGGAATTTGGATAGTGTCATCTCCATGGGCCTAAGGCCCCTCTTTCAATAGGTGGAAAAAGATTGGCTCTCTGTCCTGATGAAAATAATGGCTGTGGAAGGGAAGGGCTAGGGAAAGACTCCTAGGAGCCTCCGGTTGAAAAATGGGGCCCTGTGATGCTGGTATAGTGTCAGGCTGGGTTTGATAATGCCCCTGTCTGTGGGCAGGGCCCTCTTCATGGGCACAGCAGCAGCTCTGCTTGGTGCTGAGGGTTGGGGGTTGGGCAGACATTGGGAACCCAAAAATAAACAGTGGGGCTGGACTCACCTCTGCCTTACTGCTCCCTTCTCCCCAACACAGGACATCTTCCCTCCGGTGGAACTCAGGCACCAAGGAGCGCATGCTCATCAAGGTCCCTGACCGGGAGCCCAGCTTCCTTGCCCCTCAGGGAAATGGTTATCCCCTGGAGGGCCAGCCTGGGGGCCGCTCCCGCAGACCGTCTGGCAGCCAGCACTCACCCAACCTGCAGACATTCACCCCTGATGCGGACGGCACTGTCTTCTTCCCAGAGAGGCGGCCCTCACCTTTCCTGAGGAGAGCTGAGCTCCCTGGGAGCTGCTCCCCACTGCTTGCACAGTCCCGGAAGGCCTCCAGCGACTCACAGCCCTCCTCCCCACGCTATGGCTATGAGCCCCCACTGTACGAGGAGCCACCTGTTGAGTACCAGGCCCCCATCTATGATGAGCCTCCCATGGACATGCAGTTTGAGGTCAGTGGCCCCTACCAGGCTGGCTCCCCACAGAGGTCACCAGGCCGAAAGTCCCGCCCATTCCTGCCCACCACCAAACAGGCCCCTGCCTCACCCTGCCAGCAGCTGGTGCTCACCAAGCAGAGGTGCCCTGAGCGCTTCCTGAGTCTGGAGTACAGCCCCGCAGGCAAGGAGTATGTCCGCCAACTAGTGTATGTAGAACAGGCCGGCTCCAGCCCCAAGCTGCGCTCTGGTCCCCGGCACAAGTATGCACCCAACCCTGGTGGTGGCTCCTACTCCCTGCAGCCCAGCCCCTGCCTACTAAGGGACCAGCGCCTGGGAGTCCTGTCTGGAGACTACAGCACCATGGAGGGGCCTGAACCACGACACAGCCAGCCACCCACACCACTGCCACAGGCCCAAGAGGATGCTATGTCCTGGTCAAGCCAGCAGGACACCATGTCCTCCACAGGCTACTCCCCAGGCACACGCAAGAGGAAGAGCAGAAAGCCTTCTCTGTGCCAGGCCCCCAACACCACCTCTGCTGATAGCCCAGGGAACCTGCTAGGTGAGCAGCAATTGGTGGAGGAACGCTCTCCATGCGGGCCCAGCCTTGCCCAGGTGAAGCGTGCAGAGGCTGAGGCTGATGCCGCACGGGGTGCAGCTGAACCCTTCCTAGCACAGGCACGGTTGGCTTGGGAAGCGCAGCAGGCCCACTTCCACATGAAGCAGCGGGGCAGCTGGGACTCTCAGCAGGATGGCTCAGGCTACGAGAGCGATGGTGCTGTACCACTGCCTATGCCTGGGCCTGTGGTGCGTGCCTTCAGTGAGGACGAGGCACTGGCCCAGCAAGAGAGCAAGCACTGGAAGCGGAACACCTTTGAGAAGCTGGGCTTCCCCCAGGTCCTGCTGGAGAAGAGTGTCTCTGTGCAGACTAACCTGGCCTCCCCGGAGCCTTACCTCCACCCCTCCCAGGTGAGGCCACATGGTGGGGTAGACAGGGCAGAGGGCCCCTGAGAGGCTGGGGTCAGCACAGGGCAGAGGGCCCATGTGTCTGGCATCTGCAACATGAATGTTTTAGATACCACAAGTGGTGAGGGTGCAGTCTCATAGGGCTTCTTGGCCATGAGGCATCTGGGAGCTAAAGCTGTGTCCTCCTCAGAACTTGGGCAGGTAGTTGTCAGGTGCTCTGGAGGTTCTCAGAGCTGCTCCCCACAAATGCCCCTTAGGCAGGAAGGGCTTCTGGGAGGCAGCAGCCACCTGGTTCCCCATGTTACAACCACTGTTAGAACCAATGCCCTTGTCCAACCTGACATGTCTTCCATACCAATAGTATAGTCCCCACCTGAACCTCTGTCCAACTGCTTAGTGTCAGAGCATCAGTACCAGCAGGTCCTCTCTACTGAAGATGGTAGGCCCCCAGGATTCACTTGCCCATGGATTAACACTTCTAGCCCCTCTCTTGTGCATTCATACCAGGGCCTGCAGGGGAAGTGAGAGCCAAAGGCCTCCTGGAAGTGGCATAGCAAGTGATACTTGGAAGTGATGCCAGGATGCCAACGTCCTGGCCCTCCAAGCAGCCATAGAGATTTACCAGGCTGGATAACTCACCTGCTTCTGGTCAGGGTTTCTGCCCTGTGTTCCTAAATGTAGAAGGATAGGGCAGACCTAAGAGTTGGCTGTGGAAACAGAATGAGCAGGGGGAAAAGCCATCCCTGGCAGTAGCAGGGCCCATGGGCATGTCTGAGAGAGGTGAAAAAGCCAAGCTGGGGCTTGCACTGGGTCATACAGATATGGAAGGGGTGCCTTGTGTGGAAGCTGGGTATTGGTGCATCTTTTGAAACAAGAATAATCCAGCACCCCCATAAGGTTGTCCTATCCTCCCTACCCTCACCTGGTTGCCTGTGTCCCTCCCTGTGGCTGTCACTTGGCCACCATGTGGGGAATAAGGTGGGTACCTACATCCTGATGGCACAGTCCGGTTTGTCCTTCCCAGTCTGAGGACCTCGGTGCCTGTGCCCAGTTTGAGAGCAGCCGGCAGAATCGCAACGCAGTGCCCAGCTCTAGCTGTGTCTTCCCCACCTTCACACTACGCAAGCCATCCTCAGAAACAGACATTGAAAACTGGGCCTCCAAGCATTTCAACAAGCACACACAGGGCCTCTTCCGACGGAAGGTATCCATTGCCAACATGCTGGCCTGGAGTAGCGAGTCCATCAAGAAGCCCATGATTGTGACCAGCGACCGGCACGTGAAGAAGGAGGCCTGTGAGATCTTCAAGCTAATTCAGATGTACATGGGTGACCGGCGGGCCAAGGCTGACCCACTGCATGTGGCCCTGGAAATTGCCACCAAGGGCTGGAGCATGCAGGGCCTGCGGGACGAGCTCTACATCCAGCTGTGCCGCCAGACCACCGAGAACTTCCGCCTCGAGAGTCTGGCCCGAGGCTGGGAGCTTATGGCCATTTGCCTGGCGTTCTTCCCACCCACACCTAAGTTCCATTCCTACCTGGAGGGCTACATCTACCGGCACATGGACCCCGTCAATGACACCAAAGGTAAGGCTCTGAGGTGGGGGCCAGGCCCATTCACCAGCAGTCCCCTCAGCCCAGCTCCACACAGAAATGCCCCTCCAAGCAAAAAACACACATCTCCCGCATCCCTGCTTCAGAGAACCCCATCTGGGCCCCAAGGCCAAGTCTTTCCTGGCTGAGACCAGAGCACATGGCTTTGTGTCTCTGCTGGTAGTATCCTCTGCTCCAGGCCCACCATGGGCCATTGTCCTCCTTAATAAGGGCAACTGTGCTCAAGCCCTCTGCACTTGCCACACTTGACTTGTAGGACTATCATCCCACACCCTGCAGGCAACTTCCCCATAAGGCTTAGGCCCTCACTTCTCAGTGGGGTCCTCCTTGAAGGCTTGAGCAGCGAGAAGCATGGTTACCACAGTGCAGGGCCAAACCCCAATCCATGGGCTTCTCATAGGTGAGTTTATGGAGACTAACCAGCCTCTGGCCCAGAGCAAGCTGCCTTGGGTTGAAATTCAGGGCCAGCAGAGGCCACCACTTCCCAATGGCCACATACAAGGCCCTAGAGGTGATATGGTGGTCTGTGCGGCCCCAGTCTGTTAGGTAGGCAGCACTCAGGTGGCCAGCCTATATCCTGAGCCGAGCAGCATGGCCACAGAGCAGGGTCGCATCCTCTACCCCCTAGCCATGAGTATCAGGAGGGTATAGCCACACTCATGTAGCACATATCCATCTGTCAACTCATCCATACCACAGGACATATGGGTCCAGCCCTGGCTGTTGCAGCTTTGCCTCTACAGAAACAACCTGGCCAGGGCTGTTTCTGGTCTTCCCACAACCCAGGTGTGGAACCACTGTGCACAGAGACAGGGGGGAGGTTGCAGGGTACTGGCAGGTTCCTAGGGACAGGGTACTGGATACAGGCAACATCCAGTACCTCAGCCCCTTGGGAAACTTCAGAATCTATGCAATGTAGTTTTCAGCACAGATCCAGCAAATGCAAAGCCTGTACTGAGAATAGAGCAAGCGCCCAGTGCCCTCAGGAGCAGGGGGAGCTGGGTGCCCATAGCTGTTGGCTTCATAGGCATCTCCTTGAATTCTTCCAAAGAGTGCTTGAATACATCTTGAGCTGGAGGCTGTAGAAATGTCTGTACTGCTCACAGAACACCAGACCACAGTATGTGCTAAGTAAAAATGTGAGCAGTGAGGAATTAGGAGAGAGTCAATGCCTGGTCATTGACCAGCAAGTATGTGGCTGCGCTCTTCCACCAGTGGGAAGAGTTTTTCCCTAGGCCCTGTGCAAGGCCATTGAGGTCTGCAGGTATCTCCAAGCATCTCACCCCCACAGGGTGCTGGCTCGCTCATGGGAAAGAAGCGGGCTCAGCCTGGGAGCCACAACTCTAAGGTCCCCATGTGATGCTGTGAGGTCTCAGAATGTCATGGGCTGTAGTAGGAGCTGTGGCTCTGTGTGGTTGCACCATAAAGTACCCTACCTCCAGTCAGAACCCCATCTGTAGCCCCAGGATCTAACCCTAGTTTTGCTTGTCTGAGGCTCTGCTTGGCCATGGGCCAAGATGAGAGATGTGCACACACAAGGTGGCCATCCTTTCTTCATCAAGCCTCAAGCACTGTCCGGCAGCTCACTCTCCCTGGGCAGTGCTGCCTTTCGTAGGCTAGCAATCCTGTCCAGAACATGGTGCTGGTCAGGAAGACAGACTTTGCCAGCCCAGAAAGATGTAGTCTGTTCTGTAGAGGACAGCTGGCTGCCCATATAGCCTTTCACATAGGAAACCACAGCTGAGAGGGAAAGCACCCCTCCAGGAATGTATGGAGAAGAACAGAGCTAAGCCTGGCTCCCATGCTTGGAGTATCACTATAAATTGCCTGCTGCAGCCTCAGGAGCCTTTGACTGATTGTTCCACCAGCATGGATGCATGACGACCCAGAAAGAAGATACTATGAGGTGACCCCAGCTTAGCTTGAGTCTTGCATGCTGGTACCTTAGTGGCAGGTACCACCAGTTATCTCCTAGTTGTCCCTCAGGATGCCCCCTCAAGCAGGTTGTTCTAGACTTTGAGGAAAAGTTGCCCTGGACACAAGAGATTTGCAGGAAAGAGCCCTTCTTCATGAGTCCTGTGGAAGGAGTAGCCCAGGTGGGCTTTGCTGATGCCCAAGCCCTTTATTCTGTGCAAGACTTCCCAGCTCTGTCAAAAATGACAGGTTGAACACTGCATTTGCTTTGATTCTAGCTGGAATGCTAATAAACAATAAAGTTTTCTCAAAGACAAAAAAATAAAAGCCACAAGGAAAACAATATAGCAGTCCCTCAAATAATTAAAAATAGAATTACCATGCGATTACCAATTCCACTTCTGGGTCTATGCCCAAAAGAATTGAAACAAGGACTCCAACAGATACGTGTTCAACCATGCTCAAGGCAGCATACTCACTGTAGCTGGAAGGCAGAAACAGCCCAGGCCATTAACATGTGAATGGATAAACAAGATGTGGTATATGCAGAAGTGGATTGTTATGAAGCAATTGATTGTTATGAAGCCTCTACAAGAAATAAAATTATGTTGTACATGCTACAAACATGGATAGACTTTGAGAACATCGAACAAAATGGAAGAAGCCAGTTCCAGCAGGATAAAGACTTATGATTCCACATCCATGGCATGTTATGGAGACAAAAGTAGAATGGTGGGTGCCGGGGGCTGAGGGCTGGGGGTGAGGGAGTTAATGGTTGCACAATAATGTGAATATATTTAATGTTACTGAACTGAACACTTAAAAACAGTTTAAAAGGCAGATGTAGCACACCTGTGAGCGCAGCACTCCAGGAGGCTGAGGCAGGAAGATTGCAAGTTCCAACCCTACCTGGGCAGCTTAGGGATGTAAGGACATTTTGTCTCAAAATAAAAAAGGCCTGTGGATGTGCCTCAGTGTGAAGGCTCTGGGTTTAATCCTCAGTGCCTCAAAAAGAAAATAAATAGCCACAAAGATGAAGCAAATAGAAAAGGAAAAACAACTATTTGGGAAGCTGGAGAACACATGGTACATGGTAGGAATCTGAGTTGGCAGATGAGGAAAAGTAGATACTAAGGGGACAATAAGAAGGTGAGGGGCCAGGGAGATGGCTCAGTAGAATAAGCGCTTCCCTGGCAAGCATAAGGGCCTGAGTTGAATCCCCAGGTCCACAAAAAAAAAAAAAAAAAGTGAGAGGAAGCAAATCCTTACAAGCTGGGAGTGAATAGAGCCAGCCTCCACTAGCAGTGGGCAAAGGAGGGCCCCGACTGCAGAAAAGAAAAGGACTGGTCCAAAGTCAGAAGCAGCAAGCTGAGCAGTGTGGCATATATCTGTGATCTCAGCTCCTCAGGAGGCTGAAGCAGGAAGATCACAAGTTTCTTGGTCAACTTGTCAAAACAGTGTCTCAAAAAATGAAATCCGGTCTGATGACACACACCTATAACCCCAGCACTGGGTGAGACAGGAGTATCTCCAGTACAAACCCAGGCTGGGCTACTTAGTAAGACACTGTCTTAACCTTTAAAAAATAGACTGGTGGTATAGCTCAGAGCAAAGGCTCTGGGTCCAACACCCCATACTTCAATCAATCAATCAATCAATCAATCAATCAGTAAAGCTTCACGATATAACTCAACAGCAGAGGGCCCCATATTTAGTTCCTAAGACTTCAAAAGCAAAGCTGCTGCAGTAGAGTGGGTGAGAGAAGATTCTGGGTCAGACCATCTGGACAAAAATCTGAGCCACATTATCAAGACAGGATATACTAAGAGTCATTAAACAAGTCTCAGTGAATGTTAATTAGTGTGAGTCACCACATGTCCTTTAGCCACAATGGAGCTAAAATAGGTATCAGTACCCAAAAAAATCTAGGAAATCTCCAAGTACTTGGAAACTAAAAAGCATACTAAGAACCTGTGGGTCAAATAAAAATTTTAAATATTAGTATTTTGAAGTAAAAGACTATAAAAAATGTACTAAGCTTTTCTAGGATTGCAGCCAAACCAATTCTTAGAAGAAAATTTATAGCAACTAAATGTCTCTATTAGATCTCAAATCTTCTGTTACCGCAATAAGAAACTTAAAAAATAAATAAATAAATTTTACCAAAAATAAGCAGGAAAAAAAAAAAGAAAAGAAAAGAAAACAAGATTTAAAAAATCAATGAAAGGCCGGGGAGATAGCTCAGTGGACTAAGTGCTTGCCTGGTAAGCAGAAGGTCCTGAGTTTGATCCCTGGTATCGCAAAAAAAAAAAAAAAAGAAAGAAAGAAAGATTAAAAAAATCAATGAAAAAAAAATCAATGAAAGAAATACAGGAAAACAGTGGAGAAAAAGAAAGAGCTGATTATTTTAGAAGACTTGATAGAATTTATAAACCTCTAGCCAAACTGTTGTGGGGAAAAAAAAGAAAAAGAAAAATATATAAGTTACCAAAGTCAAGAATGAGAGACTGGCAGGCATGGGGATACCCGTAAGTCCAGTATTTGGGAGGCTGACACAATTGCCATGAGTTTGAGACAAGCCTGGGCTGCACAGCAAGTTCAAGGCCAGCATGAACTACATAGCAAGATCCTGTCTCAAAAAAAAAGTCATTTCTACCTAAATCTATAAATTCAGTCATAACCTTTTTTATTTTATTTTCAAGACAGGGTCTCATACAGTTCAGGCAGTCCTTGAATTCGCAATGTAATCCAGGCTGGCCTCCAACTTGTGGCAATCCTGCCTCAGCCTCCCAAGTGCTGGGATTACAGGCATGTACCACCATACCTAACAGTTAAAATCTTTAGTTTTTTTCAATATTTGGAAAGTACAGCAAAAAAGTATAAAAACGAGGTATGTAAAGTAAATCCATATTAATACGATGAGCTGTAAAAGGCTCAACTCAATAACTTCTGAGAGGGGGCCTGGCCCTAGCTCAGGCCTTTAAGTGGCTGCTTCCACAAAGCTGTCAGCCTCAGGTTGCTGGAGTTCGAACCTCACACCTCTCCTGCTGGCCAAAAGTGCCCTGAAGGCATTCGAGGAACAAAAAAATAAATAAAAAAAAAATAACTTCTGAGAATAACCCACTAATATTATAGACTGCTAGACAGTGTTAGATATTTTAGTTGAATTCAAACACTTATAGTATTTAGATGCCAATAGAATATTAACCTCTAACAGGATAAAAAAAAAATTTAAAAAAGATACAAAGAAAGATCATTTTGTATTTATATATACAAAATAGGATAAATTTACAGCTACTTTCACTTAATGAGAAGAAAGAGGTATACTAACAGTGTTTAGACAGAATATCCTGTCTGCTCCTTTTACTATGGATAACCACTAAGAAGATAACAGTGTACAGTGTATTGACTATCAAAACTGTCCTATTAATCAGCTGTGAAACAGTCTCATTCATATTTATTTCTCAATAAAAAAAAAAGTTTGGAAAGGGACAGGCTGATTCTAAAATTCATAGGAAGGGCCGGCCAAATACCTCAGCAGATTAAAGTGCCTGCAAGCAGGCACAAGGGCTGGGGGTTCGATCCCTGGACCTGCTGTGCTGACCCCACCCCAGGGCGCACTGAGATAGCAATTGAAACTGGGCATGGTGGTACGTGCCTGTAATCCCAGCTCTTGGGAGGCTGTAAACAGGCAGATCACTAGGAGTCCAGTCCAGTAGTGAGACCCTGACACCCTGTAGACCCTTCCCTAAAAATACAAAAAAAAAAAAAAACAAAAAAACAAAAAACCCTAAAATTCATAGGAGCCAGACAGGAGTCTGAGGTTATCCTGAACTATACAGGAGAGCCTGTCTCAAAAATAAATAGGGGTGGAGCTGGTGAGATGGCTCAGTGGTCTAAAGCACCTACTTAGAACGAGTTTAGCAAAGCACAGGGACCGCGGTTCAATCCCCCAGCACCACATGCCAGCCAGCCCCGCCCCCTTGTGGGCTGAGCTGGCCACACACATAAATAAAATTTAAAAAATAAATAAATAGGGGTCAGGAATATAGCTCAGCAGCATAAGTGGCTGTCTGGTAAGTGCAAGGTCTGGAGTTTGGTCCCCAGTACTGCAAGATAGACAAACAGACAGCTGGGTATAGTGGCACAAGCCTGAAATCCTAGCACTTGGGAGGCTGAAGCAGGAGGATCTCCGGGAATACAAGGCCAGCGTGGTCTACATAGTGAGTTCAGGACCAGCCTGAATGGCATAGCAAGACCCTGTCTCAAAAAATAAAATACAGGGGCTGGGGAGATGGCTCAGTGGAATACACGCATCCCTGGCAAGCACAAGGGCCTGAGTTCAATCCCCAGTTCTGCCAAAAAAAAAAAAAAAAATCAAAATATATACATATATATATTCACAGGAAATATAAAGGACACAAAATAGCCAAAACTCATTTTTTTAAAATGTTTGGGGTCTTACTATGCAGCTCAGACTCATAGTTATCCTCCAGTTTTCAGACTCACCAGCGCTGGGATTACAGGTGTGACCACTATACCCAGTCCTGACGGCTGGCACAGCGCACCTGGGTGGAGCCAGCACAGCATGTGGTACTAGGGATCGAATTCGGGTCCTTGCACTTGCCTAGGCAGGCGTTTAGACCACTGGGCTATCTCCAGGACCCCAGAACTCTTTTATTAAGAAAGAGCGAGTTGGAAAACTCAGAATTAGCTATGACAGTCACAGCAATCAAGAGTGTGACATTGGCATAAAGGTTGACATGGATCTGTAGAGCAGGTGAGAGATACCTGAGATACATCTGCAAAAGTATGGGTCAGTCTTCCACAGAGGGATAGGTGCAGTTCTGCAGAGACAGGGCAGTCTTCCTGGATAATGCTGTGACAACTGGATGTCCAAATGCATAAAAAGATAAATTTTAAGGCTGGGCCTGGGTAGCACATGCCTGTAACCCGAGCACTCAGGAGGATCACCACGAGTTCATGGCCACCCTTGACTATGTAGTAAGTTCCAGGTCAGACTGAACTACATAGAGAGACCCTATCACAAAACAGGCAAAAAAAAAAAACAAACAAACAAAAAAAAAAAACCTTGGTGTTCTCCCTTGCATGTGGCATTTACAATGTAGGGTATCCTACTTTTCTACTTTCATTTGGCCCAAACCTGCTCTGCAGAGCCTCTTTTCCTACTTCTTATAAAATTTTACAACCATTTAAAAAAAGAGGGTAAATTTCAGCCATTACCTTACACTGTATGCAAAAAAATAATAATAATAACTGAAAATGGATCACAGACCAAAATAGAAATGCTAAAACTTCTTTTTTTGTTGTTTTTTTGGTATTGGGGATCGAACTCAGGACCCTGCACTCACCAGGCAGGCAGGCACTTAAGTTCTGTAAGAATAAATATCCGGGGCTGGAGAGATAGCTCAGTGGCTTAAGTGCCTGCCTGGCAAGCACAAGGTCCTGAGTTCAATCCCCAGTACCACAAAAAATAAATAAA